AAGGAGACAATGACATAAGGGGAGTGGTATCAATCATCATTGCAGAAGGTCAGTGGTGTGGACACTGAAACCATCCTGCCCCTTTACTTTACTTTGAAATGTAACGTCTAGTTGGATTTAAGAGTCTGGACATAATGTTTAAAGATCCCAAAATGACGAGGCGGGGTATTCATTAATTTGACCTTCAGATAGATTATTATCCTTTCATGGATCTTGTATGAACATGCAGTCTGGTCTCTGGCAGACATATTCTATAATCTTATTTATTATGAGTATTAAATGAGTTTGACCTACTGGGGTATCACATTAATGTTCAGGCAGGGAATTCAATTAAGACCACTGCAAGGAAGTGTCTTACAAGCAATGAATACAACAGTTGACTCTCGCTCTGGAGGAATATTTTCATGTTCTTATCTACCATCTGCTGCACTGACAAGGTGTTGCCTCTCTGTGATGGTTAATTATGTGCTGTACACTGGCAGAAATGCATTAGTGGAGGAGCTGTTCTCTAGTTCATGTGGTGAACCCAACCTTTCATGTTGTGAAACTGATTAAACCTTTAATCAAAAGTTATCAAAGTTAGACTCACTTTCTCCGTTATTATGAGCCAACGTTAAACATGTTCACACTTTTGGTGTGTAGCAGCAGGTAGGGAGACGGATAACAGCAGAGGTAATGCTCATCAATTTGAGTCTGTGTGACAAGAGGAAAGATGTAAATCTGTCAAATAGTTCCCTTATAAATAAACATTTAGTTTTAATACTAATACATTTCCATCAGATCATTTAAGCAGGACTTAGTCTTTGGGGCAACACAAATATACCAACCACCTCTCAGTTTAAATGTTAGCCAACAGGCTGCTGGTTGGAACTTAATGGGAAATGGACTTGAACCGACACATTCACACTATGGGAAACATATGGAGTTTTTAAGATATATCGATATATTCTCAAACAACATATAGGGTAAGATAATATGGTTAATATGGATATAGTTTATGTTGCATTAAAATAACGTTACAGAGGTGCCAGGTCACCTTCTTCTCATCTCACTGATGATGACTGACTGTCTGCTCCTCCTCTCTCTCTCTTTTATTGTATTTAAGGAACTTTTTATTTTATAATATTACTTTTTAAATTCACAAACAGGTGTTTATTTTCCATGTGTTTTCACTCTTAATAAAATACATATAGATATATATCGAGTATCGCCATTCAGCTAATCAGTATGGAGATATGAGATTTGGTCGCCCAGCCCAAATTCACACACTGATGGTCGAGGCTGCTGCGTAAAGGGACCATTAAAAGGAACTAATCCAATGTATACACGTTCATACGGGACAAAGCAGAGGGAGACACATCGGACATGTCGCTGCAGGAACTGGGGATCGAACCCCGACCGCCAGAAATATTGCTCCAGAAAGTGACAGTTTTGCTAAATTAAAGATTGGATACTTGGATTCTAACATAAGAGTCTATAAAACTATAGACGGAAACATTTAATACTGTGATGAAGTTGGGTTGGCATACGTTAGGGCTGGTTAAGACAGATTGAGACGTTATCTATAGAAACATACATCAGGTCTGCATCCTCTACGCACTCTTTTAAGTCCCTTCTAAAGACATATTTTTATATTTTAGCATTTGAGTCCTCTGGTTCTGAATAGACGCTTCTTATTGCTTTCATTATCTCTCCTATTCAGTCTATTGTAGTTTATTTTGTGTTTTTTCTATGTGTTGTAATCCCCTGTAAACTGTTTCTTTGATGCATTGTGCAGCACTTTGGTCAGCTGTTTTTAAATGTTCTTTATAAATAAATGTGACTTGACTTCATATAAGTACATTTGAAAATGTCCTCTGTAAATTAAACACATCCTAAACCACTTCACATCAATGCTTAAGAAGTCCTACTGCTTGACTCCCGGCAATGCCAATAGAATAAAACAAACAGATATTAAAATGATGTTTGAGTAAATTATTAATATATCTTCAGTAGACCTTAGTGAGCAGATCTGACAAGCTTTAGAGACAAGACAGAAAACCATTTCACTAGACCTTTAATGTCACTGCACAGCTCATTATTCACTCGATGAGAAAGCTGCTTCACTACATAAACACTCAATCAGAAAACATACAAACTGCTGGGTTTACAATCTGCTCTTTCCACAGCTGCAGCTTCAATAATAAAAACCCAGAGTATTTACCACGAGCTATATTCTGCTAGCACAGGCTCAACTCACAGAAACATTAATCATTTCTGAAGTATCTCTCCAACCTCCAAAGTTGGAGCTGCAGAAGTTACAAAGGCAGCTGAAGGCAGCTACAAGTAGGTAAAAAAAATCCCTCCAACACGCCTTGCTCTGAAATCCTGACGTGCTGCTGGTTCACACCGCGCAGCAGTAACCCTATCGTGGATCTGAATATAGATATTTCATCTTGGCTGGATGCTTCCCCTTTGATAGTGTTATGCATATTCATCGAGCGTGATATCCACCAGAAGGTTATTATCCATAAATGTCACTCTGTAATTAATTAATCCTGTCTGCTGGTTGCTCTCGCTGCCTCATTAATGAGCCAAGTCTAGCTGATTGTATTCATATTCATGTGTCCAAATATACAGCTCTATTTCAGATTCACATGCCAGAATATTTCACTTCATTAGCAGCAGGAATCGCCGCAGGGCCCTTTGACAGGCAGGATCTGCGTTCGGATTTTCCCGTCCTGTCAGCGCCGTGTGCAGGATCCAGTTTGTCTGTTTGGGTTGTTACAGTAATGAGGACACACACACACACACACACACACACACACACACACAGACACACACACACACGGCTCTGCAGCCAGAAGTGATTGAATGTCTTGGCCGTCGAGGCAAAGTTTACTCACATTGGAATGAGAATCACCTTCGATGGGTAATGTGGTCCAAGGAGACAATTATAGGGGTAATTTTGTGCTGTTTAGCAAATTGATTTTTTAAGCTATCCCAGAGGCGCATCTATTACTGTTGGTTTGAGTCGGTTTAATAAAAATCCAATATGAATTTGCACAAAGCAGAGATGAGTAACTCTGGCGCATTAGGCTAATAGAGAAAAATACCACAGCTCACCAATGGCTTGCAAATAGTTTGACATTTACCCCACCATGCACTCAATTATTGGGTGAGAATTGTCCTCCTTAGGCTCTGCTCAGTAATGCACAGTGCTTTCTGCAAATGGTAATAATCTATACACTGTAACACATGCCCTGCTGATATGTGGCCCAGCTGTGTGCTTAGCAGGATGACTCTGCGCTTTGGGAGATAGCATCATAATTGGACGCTCACATGTCACATCCCCTCGACATTGGCGTGGTGTTCTCGAGGAAAACACTAAACCCCCTCTCGTGGACTGTCAGTTCAGATAGGAGCATCAGCAAATGTTTTAAACATAAATGTAAATCGAGCGACTCGAGCAAAGGTCTTCTTTTGTGGGCCCGAGGCTTCTGATTTAAAATCATGGCAGCTACAGACGGTTGGGTAAAACCACAATAACAGAGAAGCTTTAAAAAAAAGCCATCAAGTTTAACTGGTTCGCAAGCTGAAAACATTTCAACGAGATGGGAGAGCTTCCCTGCAGAATGAAAACCAAAGAGGACAGAAAAATACAGTTTAGAAAATGATTCAATCTGCATGGAGAAAAAAAAAAAAAGATTCTGCTTGATTTATTTAATAAAAAAGGAGAGTATTATGATAAAGCTGAAGCAGAGCCCTCAGGTAAGGACGACTCCTGGTTGAATTAATGGATTTGCATGACTGAATTAGCAATTCAACAGTTTCTACTCATTACACATTTTCTTCCCCTGGTTTCTAAGTACTCGCACATTTTAAATCAGCAAAGTGAAGAACTCTCAATTGTATCAGCACTTAATCTCCTAAACTGAATTGATGGGATGAATTGAAGAAATAAGTGACATCACAAAGGGGATCCTCACCCTGCCTCACTTTTTAACCCCCCGCTGTGAACACACTCAATTCCAAAAATATCAAAATAATGTAGAAGAAGTCAAGACGTTGCTTCATCGTCAAAATTCATGAAAGTCTGTCAGCTTTGCGTCACTTTTTTTGTAGCCGGTGTAGATTCATGATTTATCCGGCTGTCTGACGCATGAAGCATCTGTTTTTATTGTTTTTTCCTCACTTTCAGGAACACACGTCACACTTACTGATCGCCCGGGCTGCAGGGTGGAAACAGTAAGGCCTGAGAGCTACCGGTTGTCAATGTGGAGGATCAACAGCAACAACATCTTTTGTTGATTTTAAGGAGAATGAGAGGAAACATTAAGCTGCAACTTCTGTCCAAGAAATAAAAAAATCGTAAGTCGGGACAACGAGCAGCGATCAGAATAACAGTCTGCTACAAGTTGATCAGGATGAAGGATGAAGAAATGGACGAACAGACGGGACTTTGCTGCTTGTGTAGGCGAAATAAACGTTGATTTAACTATAAAACAAACTTTTTTTTTTACAGTGCAACATTTGAGTTACAACAAATAAGACATACACTGAAGTGTTTGGGTAGCGTCATGGGCCTACACGTCTGCACAGCACTTGTTAGGGGCAGACACACACCAAACACTCTGACAGGTTTTAAATCAATCATCTTTAGTTTTCCAAAAATAATTAAACGCCCGTCTGTACAGATGATGTCCCAAATCAAAGCAGGGGAATCTCAGAGATGGAAACAAAAACCCCCTGGGCTTCTATTGAAGCTTTACGGTACATCCAGCAGGAGAAGTTGTGTATTTTTAGTCTGGATAAAAGTGTGTATGACAATCACAAGCATCTGAATCACTCGTGTAACTTCAAACAGAGGGAGAGGCCAAAGGTCACCAGATTATTGGATTCAAACCGACTAACCAAAAGTGACATATCAGGGAAAAGAGCATCACTCTCTGCTGTAGTTGTTGTCGGTCACACTGTAATATATAGTGTGTGTGTGTGTGTGTGTGTGTGGTGAGTCATACCTCGGGGTTCCTGAATGCATCATGATGTGGGGAACAGTGAGGAGAGCTGTCAGCGTTGAGTCTCGTCGGCTCTGGCAGAGCTTCTCCTAGAAGATTTTGGATTTATTAATAATGTTGTCTCTTTTATCAAATCTGAGCACACAAGATTACCTTGGAAAAAAAAAAACAACAGACTGTCACTAAGCTCAAATTAAGGCTGTTATTTTAGTCCTGGATGAAATTACATTTCCGACACACGGCTCTCACTGGGGAGTGATGTGCAGTAGCTCATTAATCCTAAAAGCAATGAATTACCACAATCAGCTGACATTACCGTCTTTAATCAAGCTTTGTGCTTAATTCACTTTCAAACAACTCAGAACAAACTTCAGGGATTCAGAGTGGAGCAAACCTTTCTGACTTTCAGCTGGTGTCTAAAGAAAGTTTCTGTTTTGGGGTGAAGACAGATTACAAACTCCAGTTATGTTGTTAGCGACTTTTAGCCGCCTGTTAGCAAAAAGCAAAAGGCCAGAGGTTAAACTAATCAACAGGAGTCACAAGATAAACTGAACTGGTAAAATAAAGGACTAAATCTGCTTCTTAAAACATGAAGCTGGATGTGAAACCACTTCTCCCCCTCTACATCACAGACTCAGACGGAGACATTTTGGGTTCTTCCTGGATTCACAGTCACCTGAAATCAAATTTGTACGGTTGCCTAGAAACAGGGGCTGGGTCAACCGATCCTCTGGCTCATCTGAACCCACTCCACACTCCATAATATCTCACGCTGTGAATTTAAATGAGTATCATTCAGGTTCCTACTGTTCGACAGTAAGCCTAAAGATAAAAATTCACCCTGAAACTCCCTGACGCAGTTCAACAGTTTTGCTTTTCTGGGTCAATTTAAACGCCTGCTGCTGCTGCTGCTGCTGCTGCTGCTGTTGTTGTATTATTCAAATGCAGATTAAAGTTCTATCACTGTATATCCTGCACAGTTGATTCTGCAAAAGCAAAGTCATTACACTGTGATTGTAAAACAATGCACTAAGCATCACTAATAATTGATGCATCATCGAGTTTTTATTGTGCATTTGACTTTAAACTCAGCTAACAGCAGTTCACTTCTATATATTATTAAACACCTAATAGGACTACTGAAACCCTCTAATTATCTTTTATTCTCATTCTACGTAGAAAGAGAGGTAATCTATCGATACTCGTACCTGCAGCGGTCTCACAAAAGGTTTGAACATGCATCACAGGCTGGCTGATCTGCAGAAATAAAGGCCCCAGTGTTGAATTATTTACATATATAACTGCTCGTAAGTGAATTTCTGGCATTAAATTCAGATTTCATTCTGATGTGATTTCAACAAGCAGAGAAAATTCATGCCGCACGCTGCACTCGACGTTCTCCGCTGTGCAAGGAGGTGCCCTTTCATCCAGCACAAAAAGGTATTTCACAGCTCAGCTGTAAATGCACAGACTCCATTATGTCTCCTGTAGCTCCGTAATGGAAGAGTCCTGAATCAGCGCACAGAAAGATGAAGTGACCAGCGGACGTGACTTCTTCCTCATACATTTATCTGTGTCTGTGCTGAATATCAAAAGGCCTCTCACAGGTGCTCAACACACCTCATGTGTTTCTCTTCTAAAGGCTCTGCATCACTTTGAAAGAGTTACAACCTCGAGTCATTTAGGCTCAGTCCCTTGGAAAATCCACCCGGTGTGTCCTTGAACACAGCCCGCCGTGCGAACCGCCATAAAGCTCTCATTTGTCATCTGGATTGTGTCTCAGTTTCCCCCAGAGCTCGCTTGTTGGGACAGCGTGAGGACTTTTATCTCTTACTGCTTTAATAAGAAAAATAAAGGCGGAGAGTCTTTGTTTTACTCCATGTCTGCACCCTGTTGTTCTGGTTAAAGCTGCTCTGAAAGCTTCAGCTCTGACACGACTTCAGCTTGAATTCTTTTAAACATCAAGTCGGCAACTTGTGAAGATATTAAGAATTCTGCGTCCGGGTAAGCTCCTCTTCTGGAGAGTTAAAGGGTGATATTAAGTTTGACAGATGTGTGAATGCTGCAGGTTGCAGATCGTGTTGTGCCATGCTCGGCTGTAGCTTCAAATGAATGAGGACGAGAAATGTAAGGGCGCTCATAGAAATGTTAAGTGATGCTTCCTTTCTGAGCTACAGTCACTGATAGAAATGCTTCTGATGAGGAGGAATGCCTCCAGGAATCTACTGAAGAGGAAAACATCTTTTCACTTCCAGGTATGCTCACCTCTACAACTACACACCTTCATGGATTTATTCTGCTTTTTATTTGCAGCACTTTGAATTGATTTGTATCGTCCTTGGTCTTGGGATTTTGGGGCGGCAGTAGCTAAGTCTGTAGTGACTGGAGTTGGAAACAGGAGGGTGCAGATCAAGTCTGTAAATAAGTCTGGTAGCCGGAGAGGTGCAAACTCACTTCCTCCTTTCCCAATTGGCTCCTGAGCAAGGCACCGAGTAATGTAATGTATAAAAGATGCCTTTATAATTCCAATGTGATCATCGGTTTACTCTGAAGACAAAGCACAGCAGCAGGGTTGTTTATCGCCTGAGCTGCTAGAAGAATCTTACAAATGATTATTTGAGCTTATTTGTCAAAGATCCTCCAGGTTATTTTGTATTTCTCCTTCAACATAGGACTTCTGCATAACTCAACAGCATTGTTTCCCCTCTTCTCTTTCTCGGTGGCTTTCAATTTCTCCAGGAATTCTGCAAACTTTTCACAATGCTAGCAGACCTGCACGTATCTCACAAAACGATTCTCTGTAAACACAGTATGAGCCAACCTATTCACTTCAGTGAAATGTTGCAGCAGCATTGCAGCAAAATGGTGAAAGAGAAGGAATGAAGAACAGGGTAGCTGAGACACCACATATATATAAATAAAGTTTCTAAATTCTCCAAAACAAAAACATAAATAAATTTGCTTCATATCCCTCAAAGACGAACATCATGATCAAAACTTCACAATGGAAAAACATGTTATTAAGTAACTAGTCCAGCTCAGTGTGTGGAAAACTAATCAACCATATTACAAATGATATCTGAGCAAAAAGTAGGTGTGCAGTATGTGAACTAATAAAACATTTCTTACCATCAAAACGTCTTTGGCCTTCATGTTGATGATGAATATGACTTCAAGTCAGGCACCAAATTATGACCAGAGTTTCAGAGTTGTTGTTCAACTGGAGCAGGAGATCATCGTGAATGCATCTTATGATTCAAAGTAACATACTGGAAAATCAGCTGACAGCATTTAAGCCACTGCAAAATAATGTCACCTGAATCAACTCATTAGCGTGACCATTTAGTAATTTGATGCTTTAAGATAGTTTAATAACTCCAACAGCTCAGGTAGACTCAACATTAGTCAGTCAGCTAATTCAGCTAATCTCATTAAGCTGATTTAGATCAGCTGATCTCATTAAGCTGATCTAGAGCTCTGCAGCTTCTCTGTTAAAAACATGAAGTTGAATGTCTTACCTGGCGTCAGGTGACTTCCCCTCTCCCATGTCTCCTGGGAAACAGCTCACTGCTCTTCTCTCTTCTTCTGTTCAAGTTATCACCTGCCAGCCCACAACAAGTGCCACAACACTGACGTCAATATTTTAAGAACAATACATGTTATCCTGATCTGAACCTAATCAAAAATGTGCAGCCTTAGCTTCTTTTTCATTTTAGCTGACCTTTTCTGAACCACCTTCTTTGCTATTTGGTACCTCCAGTATCCGGTCCATTAATCATTTTACTCAGTTTTCTTCCTTCTTAATTTCATCTTGGCCTCTGATGTCCAATGGATTGATCCATTTCAGGAGGGGGGCACTGACACCTTGTCACCCCTTTCCAAATGGGCTCTTCCATAATTAGTGTGATGTCTAAATCGGTCGTGGGTCCAGTAGTAGAACAGAAGAAATTGCAACCTTATAAAGAGAACTTTATGTAAAACCTGCCAGAAATAATGTAGACTATGACGCAGGAAGACTCTATAGAACATATCATACATGAACTCACACTTTGCAAAGAGAAATAAGGGAATTAATAACTGTAATATATGATCAAAAACACAATGATAAAGTAGGGAACAACCAGGAAAGATATTATGTAGGGTGGCTTATCTTCATATCACACATAAAGGAGTTTAAATAAGTATTCGGACAGTTTTTCTCATTTCTGCACAACTATAGCCTTTTACTCCAGGTTAATATAAAGTTTGCCGAAGCCATTAAATTTGAAGAAGAAGAAATTAGTTATGACAAAATTGTGAAAGAAAAATATGTATAAACTATGTAACAAGTCAATTTCTTCTATCATAATTTACTTTGCTGGTGGTTGCTTTGCTGCTTAATGGGTAGGTGGGCAAGTCGGCCGTTTTCAAAGAATTGCCAATTGGCAACAATATTTTTTTTTTGCCATGACAGATAAGAATTAGTGAGTGCACCTCTAGTTCACCTGCCGCTTCCCTTCTTCTCTGCTGTCAAAATCAAAGGCGTGTTGGACCTCAGTTGGGAGAGTCTGAATTCAAGCAGATTAAGAAGAGCGGTGGGCCGTACCTGCCAGAAAGCTCTCTGCTGGATTTGCCCGTGTGGCTGAGAAACTTCCTCACAAAGTTTGTGAAATTATCAAGTGTTTGAGTCTCACTGTGGAACCGGAGAGGAGGCATTTAAGTGCACACATTCTTCTGAGAGAGAAAACTTCAACAATGGCTGGGAGATTTCTTTCCAGACTTACCAAACTTCTCTTATAGTTTGGATTAAGGTGCTGTCAGCGCACGGCATCATGGGAGACTCTGCAAACGGAAAGATTAGGGAAGAAATATTACCTGAAGGCTTACTGTGCTATCTTTTCCTTGTGGTGTTTTGGCTTCCGAGAGGCGTTCAAGAGACTAAAACACAGTGTTTGCTGATGTGTGCCTTTAGTGTGTGCTCCAACACTTGTGTGGTAAGAGAAGGAATCACCTGTAGCAAACTGTGAGGGAGCCAAGAGGATGACTTCAGTATCTTCTCTTCTCTGCATCTCTTCAACTAAATGAGCGAGTGTGTTTGATGTGCAGACTTCCACTGAGCCCCTGTGGGAGATGAAGTTAAAGTTTGTTACCCTTGTTAGCAGAGGCCCTCGCAGCCAGAAACAGAATCCATCCAGCAGGCGGCCCGCTGCGTCCCTCCCCCACATGGGAAGATGTCTGAGAAGCGTTATCTGCTGCCTTCAAAACGAGCGCTGAAGAGGGGGCAGCTTTGTTATCCAACACTGTGGCTCCACCGCGCTATTCACAATTGTTTTAATTCCTCCTTTGAGCAGAGCTTCATTTATCATTAAAGCGCTGCTCCTGTTTCAAGGAAGAGGGGCCAGATCTGGATGCAGCACCATTTGAAGCAGGAGTAATGGAGGTTTTAGGAATGACCTTGATGAAAATAGCACCCTGTCCTGTGGAAAAATGAGCTCAGCCGACTTCAGCGGGGGGGAAAAATTAAAAGCTATTAACGTTGTGTCTTTGTGCAGAAGTCGGCTTTTATCTGACAATTGCTCCAGACTACAGAACAGCCCAGTACAATGCAGGGGATTATAATGAAATGTTCACCCAGTATCAGTATCTACAACACTATCTTTTTTTCTTCACCGTGCTGCTCAGTGTTACATTACCTTCAGAGTGAAAACCCAGGAAGAAATGTGAATCCATTTCAGATTTCTTCCACGCTGCAGCTTTACTCATTTTATATTTATTGCATCCCCCACTTATTTCTTCTCCCCAGGACTTATTCCCACACTTTTACACTAATATTTGTAACTTGAACGTAGGAAGAAAAACACTTTAGTGTTAAGATTTGGGAATGAAAAGTGCAGCATATTGATTATACTCAAAGGGCGTAACCAGTTTGTTTTCATCCTGGGAAACTGAGGCTTTCTTTATTCTATTTCTGATCTGTTTGTTAGAAAATAAACAATCCTCCTTATGGCTGCTAAAGGTAGTTTTTAAACAACAATTTTCTCCACAAACTTGAATAACTTTTTGGACACCAACACGTGAGCTGAAGAAAACACGATGAATGACAACGTGCCACTCTCTTCTACCAGGACATGTTTATTTACAGCGGCAAATGACAGGAGTCACAAGTGTTTCCACAGGTACGTACAGAGAGACATCAATAGTTCCCACCTCCTGCACAAAGCACACTCAGCGGGGACAGTCCAGGAGACACAGGGAGCATGGGGACAAGAGGACACATACTGTACACTGAGCTCAAACACACCTGTTTTACCCCCTACAGAAAAAGGACTGAGGTTTGGTGGAGGAGGAGGGGGAGGGGGGAGAGGATAAGAAGGAGAGGAGGGAGTTGGGTATTTTTCGACTCATATTCAAATACAAAAGAACATGTACAAATCGTATAGCCTCCAGGCACTCCAGGCTCCCATATTTACAGTCATCGTAACAGGCAGCGGAACCACTCCATGGCAGGACCATCCGTTTGAGATATGCAGGTACAAGGGCCCGCTGTGAGGAAACAAAGCCAGCACTATGAGGTCTGAGATAAAAACCAGTGGAGTCTGAGAGCCGGGGAGAAGTGGGCACACACACACACACACACATGCGGAGTGGAGTGCTGCAGCCCGGGGAATTAATCACTGTCGAGAACTACATAATCAGGTTTTACCTATCGGAGCGCCCTGTGAAACTCGGGGTAAGAGCTCTTGCCAAGTCACTCCACACTCACAGAGATTGGACATTCATACTTGGCACGTGGTCATATATGACTTGCAGGGCTGCAATGCATCATGGTACTGAATAATTAAATCTAAAATAAATAGCTCAACACATAAACAAATAAATAAAATGAAAATAAAAAGCCAGAATAGGACGTTTGTTAAACTGATTATTTGAGTTGGTAGAATCTTTCAAATGGACACATTCACACACAGATGACTCACAGTAAGTGCAGATACATTCAACGGACACACATGCAACCTGATTCATGTTGACAAGTCACATATGCATGTATGCACACACACACACACACACACACGTTCACACACGCCCATGTGATGATGCATTACATTGCATTTAAACCAGATTTCTGCAGCCCATCAACACACTCACGAGTTACAGCATTTATCTGACATCTAGTAGTTACACACGTCTGCCTCTGTCCAGTGTGGTCGACTACAACCCACAGTCCTAACACTACGTTTCCCAGAATCCAAAGCACCACATTAATATTCAATTGTCTGACACATTCTGTGGCAAAAAAACAAAAAGCAGCGATCAAAAAATGAATTGGATGGTCTACACTGCTGCAGCGGCATCGGGCCACGAGAGGGAAAGAAGAAAAAAAAGGCACACTAATGCCGTAATTACTGTCTGCATTGGAATGCCGTGAAATAGCCTTAGGGCTTTCTTAAGGGAAACAAATGACAAGGAAAAGTAATAGTACACCGTCACTAAACTTTGGACCAAAACACAACAAAAGAAGAAGAAGAAGAAAGAAAACAGCTTTTCGTCTGAGGAGTGTTCTCAAGAAAAAAGCCAAGCCTGTTGCATTTTGAAAAAAGACACATCCTTTAGGGTATATTTACATAAAAGCTTTGTAAAATATTCTTTTTTTTTTTCACCTATGTACAACACATGACAACATCAGAGAGATTTAGATCAAGAACAAAAGCTTTTAAAAACATCTGAGACAGGTATGGATAAAGAAAACGTTTTTTTGTGATTAAAAACATCGATGACGGACATGTTGATTGTTTTCTGAACTCAGTTGTTCCCATGCTTTGAGTCCTTCCAGTCACTGCTTTCTCTAAAGACAGCGACAATTACATAACAACCATTCAGGATATTTTTTTAAGGGAAGGCTCTCAACTCTTAAATATTGATAACTAACATGATCTCAAAGCGTACATTAGTTTGCAGTGCAGTCTGCTGTAGGAAAACGTTGTTAGTGAATAGAAGAGTGTCATCAACGTAAAGAGTGTGCCAATAATGACATCAGTGCAAATATGAGTCTTTAGATGTCAAAGACTAAATTTTCTTCAATATGTTTTAGGTTTGTGTTCCTGCAGTGGAAGCTTTGATCCACAATAGCCCTTCAGAAAGCCATATTAATCAAATTCTTCTTAATAATAATCCATGATTACATCCTGTTTGATACTTTTTCATCCTTGTAAAATATCTCACAAGTTCCTGGAGTCAAGATTCCTTTAAGAAATACAACCTCAAAGTCTCATTGCACAATTTACCCTTTGCTGAAGCGAGCTAGCTTGAAATAATTCAGCATTAGCCTCGTGTTAGCCGTGCGTTCCCTCCAACCAAAAACGAACAGGAGTGTTAGCTGTGGAAGCTAACATCGAGCTAGCAGGTTAGCTTTGCTTGCATTTGTGGAAGAGGTCATGGTAGGGATTGGGTACGGAAATCTTTTTAGGGTTGTAAAACACAAAGAAGAGGGAAAAAACAACATTTATGACCAGACACAACAAAAAGAGAGACAAATAAAATACAATCATTGATCAACAAGAGCTTTCCACTGATGCCATGTTTTTGATACATATATCACTCAGGGTGTGTAAAAGTTTGACCCTTTCTCTCTTTCTATTTTCTCCTTATTATTTGTATTTACACATGCCTTTCACTTGGGCATTGTTATAAACAGATATGGTATTTTACTCCACTATTTTCCAGTGCTGAAGTTTCTCTGGGTTTTGGTCTCGTGATCCGAATGTTCTTTTGGTGGCGAGGGGACCGGACCCTTTTACGCTTTGCTGACGTCGGGCTTTGTGTGGATGCTGTTGTCGCTGTGAACTTTGATTTCAATCGTATCTGGCTTGAGAGACTCTTTTCCATTTTCTTCCTTCAGCGGTAGTTTCCTGCGGAGCAAAAAGTACACAAGTGGACGTGAGATTGGCAGCAGGCACACTTCACAGCTGGTTGATTACAAGAACTTAAAGCACACATATAGTAAATGTTCACAGGCACAGACTGGAGAGTGACCACCTACAGGATGTTTTTGTATGAAGCAGGCACATACATAAATTCTGGCTAAATAAGCACTGAATTACTGCCATTAGAAAATATGGCCTTAATGGTTTCCTCCACAAAATGTGTACTTCCCTGCTTTAAAGCCCTTCAGTAATCATCTTTTAGACCTTTCCGTGCGTGAATGAGTTGCCCCCATTGGGACTAATAAAGCTGAATTTAATTGAAGTGAAAAGGCAGCAGGGATATTAAATATAAAAGCCTTAGAGGACTGCTGGCAGGCCTAAAGAAAGGTATTATTCATAGTGGTGCTTTACTTTGGCCTTGATGGTTGGGGACTTGTGTTGAGATGAACACCATTCTGCTACTCTTTAATAAAACAACCACAAGTTAATTCTACTGATGAATAACAGAAAATGTGTTTTAAGTCAAAGATTTTCACTTCCACTGAAATGATTATATGGAACCATAAAACTATTTTTTGAATTAAAGTGTCTCTACATTTCTTTATTGTGGTTAATTCTTCTTGCATGCATGTCTGTTTAATATTCATTGTTTTAGTTCTCTGTGTTTTTAGTGCATCATATTTTCTTGGCATCTTTATGTAGTTTTTTTGTGTTTTTGTGGTAGTATTACAACCCTCTGTTTTTGTTTTGCATCTCTTTGTGGTGTTTTTCTATCGTTTCACTGACGTCCCAACAAGATATGTAAAATATGATTTACAGCAGGCCTGTGGCCGGTAGACCTATTCCATCATCCGTCCATGCTTTGACTTTAACCAGAAGATAGGACGTATTTAACGTTTAGATATTCAAATAAAACCATCATCTTTCCTCTTTAAACTTCCCCAAATCTTTTTTTGCTATCAAAGCTAAAACCTACTGTAGCCACAAGTAAGAAGCAGGCAACCATCCACTCACCACAACTGATCAAGCTGCAAATAAAAGCTGGATTACTCAATATGCAACTGCGTCAGAGCCCCAGATCCCCAGGGTCCACTAAAGTCCAAGGTTCACAGAATATCAATTGGTGGTAACAATCAACTATCCGGTCAATTTACTGTGTGCACTGTATTTAACATTTTACAAGGCACTCCAATTAGTTTTCATGTAAACGTCCATTTTATGGATCATGGGAGTTACTACATGACCTTTTGAACCTGCTGCTCAACGACCTCCATGCAGCTTGCTCAATTTCAGAAAAAAACGGCCCGTATGAGGTCATAGTGATGTCATCAACGTTAGCTTGTCTTAAACTTGGAGACGATAAATGAATTAGGAAAAGGCTGCGTTTTAAATTGGGGGATGAAAGATGAAATTCAGATGCATTATGGGAGATGTAGGATTTTGGAAGATTGACAGACTAGTGATGAAGAGTCGGACGTGGGCCGTCTTTAATTTTGACTTGAACTTGACGGTGACGTGCTTAGTCTGGGAAAAACACACCCAAGGGTTAGGTGGTCTAAAGGGGCCCACAGTCCAGGTTTTGCCCTTTGACCCTTTAAAAGCTTAATACGGCTATGTCGCAAGCAAACCAATCGGAGGCAAGTTTAACATGTCACAGCAACAGATCCTTTTGTATGGATCTGAACATGAAGAAAACGTTACATCTGTCACATTTGAAACATCGTCTTTGGCCTTCCTTTGCTCGCTCTTCTCTTAGTTTGAAGGTTTTCTTACTTTTTCACCTTTTCAGTGCTCTGCTCTCATTTTTCCGCCTTGTGCCGACCTGAACAACATAGAGGAGAGCACGTGTCCCATTTTGCTTTGGATTTGATTCACTTAGAGGGAAGAAAAAAAGAAATATTCATGCACGTTGTAAAGAGCAGGAGCCATTTGATTGGCTGACTGCTTCTTATCAGGCGCGTTTGCTCATCTCATCTTCCACGACTCTTGTTTCGAGGAATTCATCAGAAAGAGATTGCAGCTTTATCTTTATGATAATGTGGGCGCAAGATGAAAATCTAACCAGACGGTGTTTCCAGAGATACGATGCATGTGAGCTTTTATCTGAATCCAGCAGAAAGTAGCACTTATCATAATGCAGCCAATGAGTAATGGTCCGAATGGAACAACACAGTGACATAATTTCACTTAAATAGCTGCAATTTGTAACATGCATTAGAGTTTTGTACGAGGTAGGTGATTTGTTTTAATGGCCCACATTTATATCTCAATGTTTCTTACAATCATGCTTTATTTAGACATTTAAAATGGCACATAATTAGGTGTCAGCTATTCAAAAAGCTATATTAATCCTTCTTCTCTGCTACTTCAGGTTATTCCTGAGATTAATCTGCAGAAATGTAATCATTTGATCTGCAGGAAAAGGACTCAGCATTGTCAGTTTTGCTTCCTGAAGCTTCAAAATACCAAAAGCTGCTTAAAAACAAACACACAGACATTGTAAGGAAATATGAACCCTGTGCTTAAATTACAGCAAAGGGATGTCTGCAGGCAGGTTGTCCCTGTCTCATTTTAACGACCAAAAGCCCAGATAACAATAAACAAAAGAAAGAGACACATAGGAGGGAAATATTGAGTTTTTAGTCCTTTTTGAACATGAAAGCTGTGAAATCCTTTCTGCTACACTGCATCTGTTTGGATCTGTACAGATTGGATAAGAGGAATCAATAAAGATGTCTGCTTTTTATGTGGACTCATCTCATCAGTGTACTTGTGTCTTTAAATATTTCTTCATCCAAGTGAATGTGTTCATGATTTTGATTGCAGAGTGTGCTTCATGCTTTATCTGAGTGAGGCTAACAGTGTGTGGTATGATGAAGCTCGAGGACGCTTTTCCTGAGCGTGCAGACGGTTATGCTGCTTCTGGTTTCTCACATTTCCAACTCCGCTTAATGATTTGTCACCTTGCACCAAAACATAAACCATGTGTCTATCGGCGCATTTTGACTGGTAGTTCTGCTCTGTTCCCTGTTTTTAGCCGTTAAACAGAAAATAATTTGCATTTTCAAGGTTTCATTTTCCTCGAATGACATCAAAAAGTGAAACTGAATAAATGAGCCAGAGTATCTTTGCATGATTCAAATGTCGTTCAGGGCTTAAACATTTCTCATTGTTGTGATTTTCTGTTTTAAATAATGACAGTTTGCTAACTTTGAAATGAACTCAAAGAGTTGCCAACTAATATTATTTATTCTTAAGCTTTTATCTGTCTTCATTTATATCTCAATTATTTCTGAAAAGTGGAAAGTCTGGTGTCTTCTGACCAACTCAAAGCTGTCATCTTATTGGACTCTTCTCTTACTTACTTAAGATGCACATTTTCTGTTTCATATTGTCACCTTCTCTTTGTTGCTTGTTTGTCATCATGAAAGACGATATGATAAATATGATAAACCAAATCATGCCGTGCATCTTCACTGTGCAGACTGAAAGGAGGACCTATGATTCATGATTAGATATTCTGTATTTAATGAGTGATTTTAACAGCTGCCTCTTGAGATAACTCTTCAATGAATGAAACTGAGCAAACTACACATGGAGTGTGAAAAGTGCAGAGGGCGGTCTAGTGATGGAGTGAAACAGACAGGTGGAGGGTTGAGTCGGTGTTGGTCTTAGGTTACTCCTATCATGATCTGATGAACTTTCTAATGACACTCCATGTAGATATGTAGGTTCAGACATGTTTCAAAAAGAGAGAGAAGGGGGATCCGCAGAGCGTCCCATATGTTGAGAAACCTCCCCGTCTGAACTTAAGTCCAATCTGGTTTTGCATGAAGCTAATGGGACATGAAATTGGCTCCACTGTGCAGGAACTTTAACATCCACCAATCAACCAAAAAGAAGGAACCCCCCCTCTGGCTGAATGCAACATTTGGGCTTATTAGATACAGTGTCACGCAGAGCGGCTGCTTTACATTTATAATCTTGTTCACTCTCAAACTGCCTTTGAGCAAGTAAACATCTCGTACGGCTATTTGGATGGCAGTTTATGCAGATGTAGAGGGCTTTTTGAAAGTGACAATGTGCTGTTTATGTAAGAGAAGTTTGGGCTGCAGGAATACTCTACACTACAGCTCTTTGTTTGAACCTTTCTCCTCCTGGTGATATATCTAATACACCTTATGTGACTTATGTGATCTTTGAGGGAGAGAAGAAGAAACAGCATTTCCTTTCTTGCTATACAGCTCAGTAAACCTCCACATGAGGACTCTGCCTCTCTGTCTTGCTGATGTCGCTCGGGCTGCTGTTTGTCCCTGCACAGCTGGAGGTGAGGACTCACACAACATAACACAAGTTGGGACTTTTGTATCTGATGTGAATTCCCCTTTAGGACTAAGAGATAAGACAGCTGAAACAGAAAGGATCCTGATTGGTTGGAATGGTTTTAACAGAGTCAGAGGTTCTCAGGATGTAGATGTTTCCTTAAATGCTGTGGGATACCTTCTAATGGACCCTCATTTTTCTGCAGTGTCCTCCTTTTTCCTGTATTTTCACCTCTAAACACACACGCACACACATTCCCTTCAGAGGGTACATTTAAAACAAAGTCTGGGACACAAAGCAAACAGAACATGCTGCTGCGTCTTGACAGGCCTCTTTGATAATGCTGCAGGAGGCGGCGGTGAGCATGCACCTCATGGAGGGCCGGGGAGATATCATGCAGATGTGTGTTTGTAATCTGTAAGCTTCTAAGTGACACCAAAGCACAGCAGGGGCCACTTGTTCTTTCCTCTGCTGACGTTAATTAAGCACAAGGCCGCGCATGCACGTCACAAAGGCTGACTTCTATCTCCACTTTTCACACAGATAAATGAGGTGGCCCGGGGTGTGAACCGCAGCCCGTCCCTGGTGTGTTTGTTTACACGCTTATCCTAATCTTTACATACACATTTATTTTTCCAGAAAGTATATGTTATCAGTCCTGACCTCAAGGATCTCACAGCGAGCAGAGAGGAGGAAATCTCACCCAAGGACACTGAGGGGATTTTGTTACCTGAAATTAGTTTATTGGCAGGATTATGGGTCTACCTTGAAAACCTCTGCATGATCACAGATCTCTGCACCCCACTTTAGTGATTTACACAGCCTGACAAAGAGAAAGAGCTTGCATATTAAAAAATGCAATGTAGCCCAAAAACGTTAAAGCAGTAATTACAGTAAGGCATCTAATCACGGCTGACTGACCTAAGTAGTTACAATCCATCACTTTTAATTATTTCACAGTGGCTTTAACTTCATTTCCAGCTTAACGTCCCACAACACATTTCACTCCTTTTCATCAATATACCAAAATAAAGCAAGCACACTATGATGACAGTAACGACACTATTTCACATCTTCTGTGCATTTCTGAGCTGTTTCTCAGCTCTGACTTGCAGATTCAGATTCCAATACGCTCGTGAGCAACACACAAAGAGATTTACAACGTCTGACTTAAAAAAAAAAAAACTGCTGTCAGCACTTTGAACCACCTAGATGCTGAAATGTGCTATAGCAATAAACTTGCCTTGCCTAAACTAGACTAACTAGCTTCCCCAAGAGAAAGTAAAGACCAACTATTCTAGCAAGCTGCGACGTGTTGGGCGGCTGCAAATGTGTAAAAACTTGCAGTTCCTCAAATGTCCACTTGAGAGCGGCTGCGAAAGCTAAAGAATCTCCATTAAGACTCATTAAAATGCCCATTGTTACAGCAGAAACAAACAGCCTGGTTCAAACAACAGTTTTGGTCTGAGGAGCTTTAATCCATATTAGTAAAAACTGTACAGAGGGTCCTTTTTTAAAACTGATTTGTGTGGATTTCATTAAGTTTAAAAGTTGTGCCTACATGTGTATGTTTATGGGTGACTCCAACACTTAGCCTGTGTCTCCAGAATGATTCAAAGATAGGTTGAGATATGGCATTCAGACATGGTGACCGCCTTCAGCTTCTAAACACCTTCAGAAACCCGCTAGTCCGTTAGCAACAGTTAGCACAGGTATGAGAGATTCAGCCAAGAGGCTCCAGATTGTCTCACACCTCAGGTCGTCACGCGGGGCTTCCTGTCCAAATAAACTCTGATCTGTGTTTTTTTCACATCGTAGTAGAAAGTCTTGTTCTTTACGGTTCTATCTGTGCAGGATACAGAAGCCTTAACTCTGATCTCACGTTCTGTTTCATCCTACCTGCTGTGAGTCATCAAACCTGTCACTGAGCTGCTCTCCTCTAACTCCTGAGTAAACATGTCCGCTGACGTCAGCTCTCTCCTGCATCGCCTCAACACACACCGTCACTGTGGGATAAAAACCCATTCACACTGGGACAACTTTGGTCGGACTCTGTTTGTTTCAGGTGTGTTCTGACATCCAAACATAAGTGACACTTTCTTCAGCGTGGACTTTTCCTCACCCCTGAAGTTGGATATCAGCACACAGATATTCTATTAAAAGCTAATAAAGTGCAGTCTGAACTTCTGTTTGGTGCTGTACCTCGTGTTCCTGCTGGGAGGCGAACGAGGGGGGAGCAAATCTATTCCCTGATCTGTGACTGACAGGAGGGGACTGGAGCATTAAGTAAACAAAGACAGATGACGCTGCAAAGGTTGCAACACTTGTGAAGACTTAGTAAAGTAAGAGAAATATGCAGAATCTTCAGTTTTCATCACTTGAACATTTAAGATGTCAAATCTGTTTATCATGCAGCTCGTCCAGAATGAAGTTGTTCCTGACTTTTTTCCAACATGTCCACCGGGTCCTCGGGTTTAACAGCAAAAGTCAAGATTACACTGAACTCTCCTGAACTGGAAGTGAGGATTAACTTCTGAAGTCAACGAGGGCGCCGCAAACACCTACAAGTCTTTTAACCTTTCCAGAGGCCACGCCGAGGCTCCAGCTCGCCCCCTCGGTCTGATCCTGGCACCAAGTCTGCTGATTCATAACAGACAGACGCCCTCGCATCCTGCTCCACTGCTCCGGCTCTGGGATAAAACCGCACCGCTGAGGGAGGTGAGGAGACGGTCAGAGACAACCTGAACGGCCCTCTCTGATCCATCCCACTTATCAGCCTCCTAATTTAAGCTTCACCTCGTGCTACTCATCACCGTGTGCACTCTTATCGATAGCATTGATATTGCTGCGCAGGGTTTGCTTGTCTTTACAACTTATTCCCCCTCAGTGACTCCAGACTCGCTCTATCGACGTCCTGCAGCTCAGTGGGAGTGTCTGAGCTTTGTAGTCACTCGAGCGTTCTCTTCACTGGTATGACTCATGACTACTGCAGCACTTAACATTCAGCTTTGGCACAACTTGTTTCTTTTCTTGTGTTTTTATTGTTTTCTGGCATCCTTAAAGCAACTTCAGAAATCTAAGAGAGAATATTCTTCACTAACTGCGGAGAACGTTTGATTTCATTTTCTGTTAAAAAGCCAGAAGAGGTGAAAGTTTACTGACTTTTACATCAAAACAAGTACTATCCTCTAACCACACACACACACACACACACACATACACACGACTTCTCCTGGGTTTGAACTGCCTCAGATCAAATGGCTGAAGGATCATTTCATCATGGCAGAACTTTGGTCTCATCTTGATAGTTTGCTGTGATCACATTGTTCTCATCAAAGTTTAAGGACACCTGACTTAAAGTAGATATCCACTGAACCCTAACCTTTTCTTTTTTACAAAGGTTCTTTTAACTCCTTATTTAGGAGAGACACTGAGCACGCTCAACAGGGAGCTGAGGTGGAGATTTTGAGTTGCATATTGGGTAATGTATGCTGTGTGTTTGATGCCATGGCTTCTGTAGCATTGTTGTGTTTTTTTCTTTATTTGACAACTCTAGTTTAGAAAAGACAACAACAACAAAAGATGTTTGTTTTTAGCTCAGAAGATGAAGAGCATAGAAGAACATTTTATTGTAAGCATCAGTTTGCAAGGACAACTTTAAAACAGAAATGCACTTCTGTCGTTGGAATTAAATTGTGGAATTCTTTAAATAATGATTTGAAGGGTTGTGTTCAGATAGTTCAGTTTAAGAAAATGTAAAAGATCAAAGTTATGAGACGGTATGAAAGAGGCAGTTTTATGTGTTTTACTTCTTATTTCTGAGGAAGTGAAGACTGAATTGTCAGATTTGTTTTATGTTGGCATGATAATCATTCATGGGGGGTAAAACAAGATTTATTCTTCTCCCTGCTCCTTTCCGTACATGAGATAAAGTGTGAATTGTTTTGTTTTGTTTGTTTTGACAGGTACGGAACAAAAAACAAACAAAAAACAACAACTCTTAACCTTACGAGGCTGAGATGAAACATTTCTGCTCGTCCCTTTAACAAAGTAAACTTAAGGTCTTGTTAAAACAGTCCTCGTCTGGATGCTACACTGACGACACCTTTAGGTCGTGTTGTTGTTCTTTTACTTCAGGAGGAAATGTGCTGTTGATAAAAATGTATAATTATGAATGATTAAACAGATCCTGACATCCTGCAGCTTCACCCTGCACGTCTGTGACTCTGCTCTGATGCGTCTGAACTACATCCTGATAAAGCCGTAGAGAAGGTGCAGCGGTGACACACGGCTTCACACGGCCTGTAAACGCCGTGCGAGCTGCTGCTACAGAGGCTGCTCCCACATAAAGCCGGGGAAACATTCTGCATGCTGTCTCGTCACTCAGCCCCTCCAGCACTGTGAGCTTAGTGACTCAGCAGAAGTCAAACCCCTCCCCCCTCTCCACCTCTCCACCTCTTCTTCTTCTGTCTCTGTGCCCTCTCTTTGCATCGCAGACACATGGCAGGCACACCGACAGATTTCACCAAAGTGGCACTGCTGCGGCCTCTGAATCACACTCTGCAGGTGCTAACTCGCAAAACTTGTTTTTGCTAGAATGAAATAGGGCCGGGATATATCTGAAAATCAATTGCAGTATGAATTTCACAGGGGTGATTTTCTTTTTTATTTCCAACTGCATGCAGGATAAGAAGATACAAAAAGTTTGTGTTTGCTCATACAAAACATCCATGCAGTTAAATGTCAATAACGACTTATTTGCATGCATAAAATATCTAAACACAAAGCACAAACACAAAGTTAAGACTTCACACATGCACAACAGGAACACACACACGTACACAATATGCATGCAAATAGGATACTTCAAAGGTGAACTCACAGCACATAGTATGAAACGCACTGATGTTAGTGAAGAAGACATAATCAAAGACATACTGTGGCTGAAAGGGTGGTTGGGCGGCTGTTGTAGGTGTACCTACAGTAAAAAGAAGCCTCCTTTCTTATTCTTTTCTCATTCACAGTCAATTTTGTTAAAAGGAGTCTGCTCTATTCAGAAAAAGGTGACACTTTTGAGCACAAAGAAAAATGGACAATTTGTGACACTTCTTCATCCTTGATTCAATAAAAGACGAGAACTTCTTTACACATTATATTTTCATTTTCTGAGAGTTTGCTGAGATCTTTGTAAAGATTCATCTACTTAAATCTTTGAGCTCATTTTTGTTAAAAAAAAAGAAGAAAACAACTAAATAGCAAGAAAAAAAAACAGCAGTTTCTAGAGTGACCCGGTGTAACCCACAAGCATCAAGATACACCCACAGCAGATGCTCCCTCTGCAAGCATGAATGACCCGGTGACCGACAAACACAGATACATTCCCCACTGTTACCATAGAAATCAAAACATTTCATTGAAGGAGTTAAAGTTCCTGGAATAAACAATAAAAAAAAAACAAAAGGAGAAACTCACAGGTAGGCGGCCTTGCCCTCTTCCATTTCTTTGCCCTTGCCGCTGGTGGCTGTTTTCTTGCTGCAGATTGTGCGCGTGATGCACATCAGCAGGCCACAGTGACGCAGGAAGAAGCAGCTGACATCCACCAGCACGAGCAGCAGCAGCAGCGCTCCCAGGCCGAGGCCGACCACCGCGCCCAGCCCCAGGCCGCTGAACAGGGATTCTGCTAAGGCAGTGAAACACACACACAGACACAGAACACACACACAGGAGGAAACACTGTTAGCAATGTTTGGTTTCTCAGAGTAATAGGTCAAGGTCAGGTGTAGAGCAGAAACACAGGAGCAGGTTTCCTCAGGTTGGGCGCCTGCTGATGCGAGGCCTGAGGTCACGCTCCTCCTCCCACGCCCATGCACACGGGGTGTAACAGTGCTGTAAGCGTGATACCAGAAAAGTAGAGCCAAAGAGCAATTTCACCCTACAAAACTTTTCCTTTGGTTACTTTCAAACGCCCTCCAAGGTCAAAGAATTCCTCCGCAGCCAGCTGGAGAGCTTCCAACACGTAGATAAGTCCTAATCCACTACGTCTCGACTCGACGCAATCCTCAGCGGAGGATCTTGATTATTAACGTGATTCCACCAAATCACCTCCAAAAACAAATCAATCTCAGCTGTGCTAACGTTCTAAGGAAAAGTTTTAAAGAAGTAAAGAAATGGGGGGGAAAAGGGGAGATGTAGAGCACAGGTAGAGACGGCTTATCTGTGTGATTCATTTATAATACGAGAAAGAGTTGAAACTTCTTCTCTGTTTAGGGAAATGCAGCAATCTTTCAACAAACCTGAAGAGTGTTTTACAGGTGTGTAACTCCACAACAAAACACAATTTGTCTTCCTCTTCTTCTGCCCTCAGGCAACACATCTACCTCCTCTATCATGTGCCAGGTGTCAACATCTCCAGGTGCACAGGTGCTGAAGTTTGTGCACTCTTTCCAGCGATGGTGTACCACTCTGCAGCTCAAAGAAACAAACATCAGGATTAGCATAAAGCTGCTGCAGCCTCTGTGTCCGCTGGGTGCCTCTTATTTCATAGCTCCCAGCGCAAAGTGGGTCCACGTGGGCAGCAAAGTAGGAATTTGCCTGTAAGAGTGGAAATAGTTTCTGTGGTCTGAAAACACATCGGCCCGGTCAGGAACAAACAGCCGGTACCCACTTTCAATGTAAGCAATGAGAAAATGAAGGCAGTGCAGCAAAGAGACGCTCCCAGAGGGCCCGGCTGAACAGAGCTGTGCCCTTAAGTGAACCTGGGGGGGCGTTGAGCAAACTGAAGATCCAGTGGGGGATCACTGCTGACAGCTGGAGGTCACACCTTGCCAGGAGTAATCAGCAAGGTGGGGAGTGAGAGCGAGTGAACTTTCCTACTTAAGGATGCTCTCATATTGGTGTTCAGTAGCCTGTGAGTTAAAACCAGGGATCAGGCATTAATATGAAGGTGTAAGCACTAAGAGGGCAGCCGAGTGGGGAAGTCTGGCACCTCCAAGTTTGAAAAAAAGAAAAAGAAACGGAGCCTCTTGGGAGTTGTGAGGGCGCACTGCCAGAGCCTTCACTGTCTCCTCTCTCTTCAAAACATGAAGTCATTGAGCGCTGAATGCAGAAGTTACCAGCCTCCGATCGCAGGTTTCACATTCCCACCTACATACCTGACAGAAAGGCTGGATTTTAAAATGCGTTTACAGCGTGCGTCTGGATGGAACTCAGTCCGCACTAAATTCTAAACAGCTAAAGAGCTGCAGGATTCAAAAAGTGTCTGCATCACTTCTCATTCTGAAGCAAGAGTGCATACAAAACACATCAGTAAAGTATCTCTGTCAACAGGAGACAACTGAGCAACACTCAGGAGGTCACTGAGGCAGAATCCACATATTACAGGCATGTTAGAAACTAGATCAGGAGCTTACAATAATGAAAAGTCTGTAAAGCTAAGGCACCGGAAGAAAGACACATTGTGCATGGAAAAGTAAAAACACTGGGAGGTGAATGCTGGAATGAAGGACGAGCAGGTGAGGTCGTATCGTCCACATGAAGCATGAAGGGAAAGAAGAAGAGGGGCTAATCTTGTAGTGTGTTCTTCACAGACAGCAACCCACAGTCCTACTTATTGATCCTTGAACAGGTTAAAGGGATGCCTCAGTGCATCAAGAAATGCATTTCCATAAAGTTGCCAAAGACAAGTTGAAACGAAAAAGGTCAAATCAGTTCAGTGGAGGTGAAGAGACCTCGTATGGATCAGCTGCAGAAACCCTGTTACAGTACAGTGACTGTAAACAGTCTTTAAAACACAACCTCCAAATCATCTCATCAGATTCAGAGTTTTAATTGTCCCACAAGGGGACATTTGCATTGCAACAGGAGCACACCAAAACAAATCAGACAACACAGCAAAATATAAAACCAAATAAAAACAGTGCAATAAAATCAGTCAAGAGCCCGGACCAGAATGGAAATTCAAGTTCTTAAAGTGCAAATGTGCAATTCAAGTGAAAAAAGAGCAACAAATAGCTAATTGTTGTTTAACATATTAAGTTCACTTGGTAAAAATGAGACCATCAGTTGTCCAGGTTGAGCTCTGCAGAAGCCCCCTCCTCTTTCTGCAGGAGGTATTCCATCCCGCCTTCAGATCAGCACCATGGCTGAAACCCTCCTCCAGTTAAAGCTGAAGAGTCGACACTTTAACCTCAAACTCCCCGTCTCACTTCAAATCCAGTGAGCGTCGAGCCAAAACAACAACAACAAAAAGTCTTCCAAACACTCCACACTGGAAGTCGTCGCTGCGTGTCACGACTTAAATGACTCTCATGTCGGTGACTTTGTTCTCAACTTGGAGCGGAGGCTGCAGACGAGGAGACTGGCAGCGAATCAAAGCACAGAAAGACACAGACACAGAAAGAACCTCTTGGCAAAAAAAAAAAAGAAGAGGAATTCCAATTAAAACACTTTGTGTCGTCGGGATTTGAAACATGGAGAGACTGGATCAATATTTCCTCAGCGCCACAGGCTACTGTTTTGTGTCTCACCTTCTCAAAGTTCATCTGAGTTAATTTGGCTGCTGAAGCGGCGGATTCCGAGGCGGTAAACAACACTTCTCCAGCTCCCCTGAAGCATCCACATCCTCCAGAAGACAGAGGGAATACTAATCTGTTTGTTAAGGGCTGGAGTGCCCTCCAGCTTTCATATCAATATTTATATTTTTGACATGTTTTACACTGAAAATCATCACTCACATGTAATCATTTAAAGCAGAATGATCATTTTTTGCTCTTCTGACTGAATTTGAAAATGTTAAAGAGCTAACTTCTGCATTAACGCACGGCCCACTGACTATTTCCACAAAAAAATAAACAGCATTTCATGTAAGTGTCACTTTTTGGGAGGTTTCCAGCAGAAACTCTTCAGCCTGAAAAGTGAAATCCATGAACATCAGACTTTCATCCGATAAGCAGGAAGTCTCCAAAGTGCTTAGCGGCGGCTTGACAGTTTGAGGTTGGAGTTTGAACATTACACGCTTGTTTACTTGTTACTTCTTTCTCGTCATTTATTTGATTCAATCCCAAATTTAGAAAATCTGCGTCTTCAGAAGAGGAGCAGATCAGAGTCCCAGAGGTACTGAGATACTACAGCACACAACAGGTGCAATGCTACCTGAAGGACATTTCACACAACACTGCTGTTCTGTCATACTCTTCATGTTTTTTTTTACTTTTCTAAAAATAGCCGAGGATGAAAACTGTACATTTTTTCTTGGTGTTTTGAGGAATGTTAGCACACTCTTCAGGTCAGGCTTTCAATCTCATCTGATGCTTTTCAGTCTGCATGAAAAAAACAAGACTCCTGCAGACACGCTCTATATTTGATTCATGTTTTGTTCATGTTAGAAAAGTTTTACTACGCTCCCCTCTTGAGTCTTCTCTGCAGCGTTTTCATGCATCTTAAGACGGTTTCAGAGCGGCATTTATTACTGACAAACTTTCTGTAACACCTCGACCAGCTCATGGATTCTCCTCTTGAGTTGTTGCTCCAGGGCTGATGGGAAATAGTGCTGCTCAAAGACACATAGACATGTACTCTGTACAACAGCTCACCTCATGTGAGCAGAGAACTGTCATCATGATCATATCTGTCTCTCCATACTGTCATCTGTTCTGCACATGTTACATTTACAAATGATCCCTGCACTCATGTTCACTTCATCTGTCTACTCTCCTTTATATTGAATAGTTTCTGCTGATAACATGTCTACACTTTAACTAATGTCAACACTGTCCATTTACTGCTCTGTTTCTGCACATTTACATTTAATCTTTCTATTTAAGTCTAGTAATGTTTAGTTAAATCCTGGTTGTATATATTCTCATTCTTAGTTTTGATATTTTTAGTACTTATTTACTTTGTATTTAATATTATATTGTGTTTAGATTTGTTAATATTGTGTTTTTTACTCATATTGTGTGTTAGATAACCTGCTGCTGTAACACCACAATTTCCCAGTTTGGGATCAATAAAGTCATTCTATTCTATTCTATTATATTCTATATAACTATACAAATAAAATCAGGTTGTTACTTCACCTCCTTGCTGAGCATGCGACAGGTTTAGTGTAACGGCTTGCTTTGGAGTTTTGAGCGTTTTCAGAAGACGTCAAAAGGGATTTTGAATGACGTTTTTAAATATGTCTAATCTTATTTTTTGTACATTTTTAAATCCAGGGATGAAAAACAAACGAAAAGCATCTCTTGTGTGTCTCCTTGTCTTCTTACAGTCAGACTAACACAGTTCAGCATCGGGTTGTAAAGCTGCTCATACTGCGTTTCTTTAAATGAAAATATACTTTTGTTTTCTAAGTAGCAGGATCAAGGCTGCGTCTCCGGTGTCTCCTGACTTTGCACACAGAAGACTGTACACAGTGAGAAGAAAGCCATTTAAAAAACCCTCCAATAAAGTTTTATCTACCTTCAGCTGGAGATGTTTTTTTTTCTTTTTCTTTTTTTGTTCTGTGAGCCAGAAAACAAGAAGCTGCTCAGATCTCTGTGGAAGGAATTAAGGCATGACAAGCAGCTTAACTTTGAATTTAATAGACAGAGATGAAACGCAGCCAAACAAGTACGAGGCCACGAGTCAAACTGTTCTCAAGTTAGCAGCCAAGGTGTCTTCAAACAGCGAAGTGGAACAC